CACCTCCAAACACATCCAACCCATGGAACCCCCCAGTGCCAAAATTGATTTTACAAAGACATAGGCTCAAGGGTCAGTCCAAATCCTTCAAAACCCCTCTTGTCGAACAATTGGCCACAATTTTTCTCCAGGCAGAGTTAAAGCCCTGGTAGTCACTCCCTCCCAAGCCATACCAAAAAGGGTTATGCAATGGAGGATGCTGAAGTGTTCTCTCCAAATTCCCTTAGGGTCAATTTGGTGTCGTGGTCACAGTCAAGCACCTGGAAACATTGCTTTTTGTAGATTTTTTTAAAATTTGCAATAACCTGCTGGCCCAGGGGTTGGGGAGGAGAGGAGTGGTTTTCGGGGGCAAAAACTTTACTGTGTAAACCCCAAAACCCCTCGAAAATTAGGTCATCCAAGTTTGGAGGAGACAGGTGCATTGTCCATTACTGGGCAGGCACTTGAGACCCAAATTTTCTTTTCCCAGGAAACTCCTTCACACTGGGGCCCAAAAATTCTTTGAACCATCGAGAAAATTTCCCTCGTACCCTGCCTTACTATTAGTTTTCCAAAACCAAAAATTTTATCTTCATACATTGTTTTTCCTGAACACTCCGGGATTTTCAAATGGAACTAGAAAACGGCTTCACTTTTGAAACCCCCACTAGCATTAGCACAGAACTTAGCATCACCCTGTCTTTCATGGGCCCTTGTGTCCTGGCTTTGGGCCTTTTCCCTTTGTGTAATGAAGGTCCTTTTTGGGCTTTTTTTCCCAAAAAAGGGCCGTTTTGTCACAATTGAACCTTGTTAGGTTTCAGTCCTTCAGCCTTATGTACTCCTGGAATTCATGCACATATTTTTAGCCCCCTTGTGGTCCAACGGGCAGCCTCATCATGCCTTACCACATGGTTGCCAGTAGGTTTTTTAAAATCTCTCAAACCCCCTTTGCTGGCCTTAAATTCACTACATCACCACTATTTGCAGGCAATTTCTTTACCAAATCTTTCAGCAACTGCTAGTCTTTTTCACAAATAATCAAAGTCATAAGATATCCTGTAATTGTTTCTCATTTATCCACCCCAATAATAATTCTCAACCCCTTCCAGTTGGTGATCTCATTTTTGTCAGCACAGTTACTCCCTTTGCAACAACAGCGTCCTTATTTCCCTTTTTCCCTTGGGCCCCTATGGAAAAATAAGGTTGGGTTTTGGGTTTCTTATACATCCCGGATAGTTCGGCCCACTTGTCCACTTTCATATTTTTCAATGATGGTTTTCTTAAATTCAATCATATTTCTCACCTTCTTTACCACAGGCTTTGGACTAGGGCTTTCTTTGGAGCCATGGTAGCTTATTTAGCACTTGCAAGCACTAAAATGAGGGGATCTTCGCTCACTGGTAAACAATGCCAGACTGGCTGCCGCCCCCCTCACGCCATGGGTACGCGTCCCCGGGTAAAAAACGACTTGCGAGTAACCATGAAAAGTGAGTCCATGTTTTACGAAAATACCCCATGATTGGGGAAATTTACGATTGCCCGGGGAACTACGAAAAGGGGGGGTCCACTGTACGTATTCTCATTTTTTCGGTCTCATTTTAAAAAATGAAAGATTTAAATACGAAATAGTATGATTTTTATTGCTTTCATGACGAAAAGTACCTCAAAATTACGCTCACAAGCGAAAAAGTTCTATTCTTTTGTGAATCTCAAGAGTAAACAAATGACGTCCCGTCCAATCCTGTCCGCCTGCCCGTCCAAATTCCAATACGAAGTCTGGGGTTTTCATTATTTTTTTCAATTAATACAATAATGCATTTGTCTGCATAACATAAATCTTCTATTTTTTTTTGTGAATTAAAAAATTCCCAAAGGGAAGCAAGGTAATTAAGAGGGGGGTGAGCCCTGACAATGAAGAAAAAGTTATTTTGTGCCAGGAAAGTCTGCATTGTTTTTTCTGGTTTCCCATTTTTTAAATTGGGATCTGTTGAAATTTGTGGAAAACGGCCAAAATTCCCCAATTTCTGACCCCTTTATTTGGGGAAATTTAAATAAGTGAAAGGGGGTTTCTTTACTGACTCAGTTGGAAGACTAAAGTAAATTTGTTATTAAGGTATACAAAATACAGTTACATAGATTATCTACATAGCAGGTAGTTTAGAAACCAGGGTCCCGAAAAGTCAGACAAAAGGGTTTATTTCCCCACCTGCTTGGGGGGATATTTTTTTTGGTAAAATTTTTTTCGGGGAGGGGGGGGTCCATGTGAAAATTTGGGCAAAAGAAAGATGGAAAGATGTTTTTAACGTACAACAAAAAATAAAAAAAGACGGACATAAAAAAAGGAGTTCACTTTTCGCCATTAGCCGCCCCCTTTGCAGTTATTTTGTTGGTTTTTTTGGTTGTATTCTCATTTTTTTGGACTCATTTGATAGAGGGGAAAATATATTACCCGAAAAAGACATGATTTTGATTGCTTTCATGCGAAACACCCTTTAAATTGAGCTTAAAGACGGAAAAGTTCGATTTTTGCCAATGTTCAATGAACTTTGTGTAAATCAAGTTGGTTATTTTATTAAGTGTATTTAACCTAACCACTCTGAAACCCGGGGAAATCAGTAACCGGCCACTACAGGTCCAATGATGCCCGGGTTTGTGATGGAGGGCCAGACCTAATATTTGTATCAGAACAAAGATTGGATATGAAATCACAAGAATTAAAAATTGTAATTATAAAAATAAAAAAAGGACTTCCCCAAAGACACAATACATTCCATAAGAGGCATAAGGTCGACAGGGTCAGCCTCAAACCCTTCAAAATCTTTGTTGAGGACACATTCTGGCCACAATTTTCTCCAAGCAGAGTTCAAAGTCCTGGAAGTCACTTCCTGTCAAGCCCTACCTATAAGGCTTATGCAATTCTATCGTGTTTCTCAATTTCTTTACCAAAGGGCTGGCACTAGGAACTTTCTTTGGTGCCATGGTGTCTTATTTTGTAGTCACAATCAATAAACAAGCACAAAAATTGCGAAATGTTTTCGGATGAATGCTTGCTCAAGCAGTGACAAAACCAGACTGACGGTGTTCCCCAGGCGAGTGGTTGCATATGATACGTGCAATTCCCAGGATAAGGTCCAAAATTCAAAGCAAAATTTTGCACAAAAAAAAGTGTGAAATCTGAAAAGTACGATATCTGTTGTGTGCGAAATCTGGGTTACACTGTATCTCGGTAAGTACTGACCCTAAATTTTTTTTTTATTCTATCACATGTAGAAAAATGCCCTCTTGAATTCCCCTAGCATTACTATAAAAACATGAGAGTTAGCCTGTCTTTCATAGGCTTGTGTCCTGGCAGTGCCTTTTCCTCCTTCATGATGTAGGTCCTCTGACATCTTCCAAAAGAGACCTGTTTAGTCACAATTGAACACTTGTTGGGGGAGGAATCCTTCAGCCTCTACGTAACCCATTGAATTCATGCAGAATTCTTCAGCTGCACGTTTGTCTGAAAATTGTAGCCTCACCATGCTTTCAATACTGTGTATGCCACTATGCTTCTTGAATCTGTCGAACAGCCTCTGCTGGCCTTAAATTCACTAACAGCAGCACTCATTTCCAGGCATTTTCTTTATGAGATCCACATGTAATTGCCTTGCCTTTCGCAAATGATAGACTCCACAACTCTACCTCCCACTAATTGTTTTCCGTTGATCCACACCAAAACTTCTCCACACCTTCGACTACTTGTGATATAAATTTTTGTTAGCATATTCACCCCTTTCGCAACTTTAGCTTCCTTGATTTCTACTTTCTTGCCAGGATGGAAATGATCGTTGATTTCGACTTCCCATTCATCCTGGCAAGCTCGGCTAAACGTACGCCACTTTCGTATTTTTCTACACTCTTTTCTTTAATTCCGATGTGTCTCTCAATTTTTCCCTTACCAAAGGCTAGCACTAGGAACTTTCTTTGGGCCCATGATGGTTTATTTTGCAGTCACAATCAACAAACAAGCACAAAAATTGCGAAATGTTTCGGATGAATGCTCACTCAAGCAGTGACAGAGCCAGACTGACGGTGTTCCCCAGGCAGGCGGACACGTATGATACATGTGATTCCCGGGACACGGTCCAAAATTCGAAGCAAAATTTTGCACAAAAAAGTGTCTGAAATCGGATAAGTCTGATCTCCGGTGCGTGCGAAATCCAGGGTTCCACTTGTATATATAAAACATGAAATAACTTTAAAACACTTAAAATTTTGGAAAGTTTCCAGACATAACGGAGAGACACAGTGCTCACAGAGCTCACGGAAAACGTAAACAAACCTGGTGATGCGTGGTGACTGTATTAGAAAGTCAGGGGGGAGGAGCCGTTATAGTGAGTTTTGGTCATAATTTGAAATGTCCTAATAGCGGAATGCTGTACGGCAAAACACCATAAAGCAGGGCCCTACTGTACTTGATTTAGACATACAGTGGACCCCCGCATAACGATTACCTCCGAATGCGCCCAAATTATGTAAGTGTATTTATGTAAGTGCGTTTGTACGTGTATGTTTGGGGGTCTGAAATGGACTAATCTACTTCACAATATTCCTTATGGGAATAAATTCAGTCAGTACTGGCACCTGAACATACTTATGGAGTGAAAAAATATCATTAACCGGGGGTCCACTGTATTCAATTATATTTCTTTTCAGCAATATATTACGACGTAGGCTTTAGTTAAATATTTAACACCTAAAATACTTAGATACTACATTAGAAGTTCACTACTAAAGTCTTATTAGAATTTATCCAATATGTATTCAATACACGTATACACAAATCGTCTGAGTTAAGAGTGAATGTTTGTGTACTAACTGTTGCTGATGCTTATGAAGTAATTAAAATGAATGTGCTATTATTGAAATTTGAATAATAATAATGCCACAGTAATGTGAAAGTAAGATGAAAGAAGTTAAGGGTACATATAGATAGATACTAAGATGATGTCAACTTTAAGATATGAAGTACTGACAATTACCTTCAAGTATTTATTACAGTGAGGCACTCTTCCTTAAGCTCACTCCTTGCATTATATATCCACAAAAGTTCTGCCACATAATGAACAGTACACTGGGCAGTGGCACTACAAGTGTAATTCTTCTGTTCCAAGGATGAACTGTAAATGGAAAGAATGAGAGATTAATTTAAGTTCATACAAAACTTTTGCTACAAGCACTTGAAATTTTTGAAGTGAAGCAGGAAGTTTCCTGTACAATACATATAAGACAACAACCCATCCTTCTCAAGCCAACCTCAATTTCTTACATAAAGAATTAAGTAAATTTCTTGATGCAGAATATATTGTTTAGGTTAGGTCAGGTAAGTCTGGTTAGATTAGGTCAGGTAAAGTCTGTTAGATTAGTCAGGCAATCTGGTTAGTTAGGTCAGGTAGAGTTTGGTTAGGTTAGATCAGGCAAATTCTGGTTAGTAGGTCAGGTAGAGTTTGGTTAGGTTAGATCAGGCAAATTCTGGTTAGGTTAGGTCAGGTAGAGTTTGGTTAGGTTAGATCAGCAAATTCTGGTTAGGTTAGGACAGGCAAATTCTGGTTAGGTTAGGTTAGGGCAGGTAAAGTCTTGTTAGGTTAGGTTATATTGTCATATATTAGCAAAAATTAACCAATTGTAATCATACCATAATGCCAATGAATGCAATAATACTTTAAAAGCAATAACTTATGAAGTAGAAAAAATGAAGGCCTACTCAACAGTGTCAAATAATTATGTTTGCACTACTGTCAACATCTTCATGGGGAAGTGGGAAAAGAATTCTTCCTCCATAAGCCATGCATGTCATTAGACTAAAATGCCGGGAGCAAGGGGCTAGTAACCCTTTCTCCTGTATAAATTACTGAATTAAAAAGAAAAACTTTCATTTTTCTTCTTAGGTCACCTTGCCTTGGTGAGACACAGCTGGTTCGTTGAAAAAAAAAATAGTTGATGTCTGCCTGGAGTCTTGAAGTGTCTGCATGGAAGACACTGTCATGCAAATTCGGGTGTCATCTGCAAAGGAAGACACGGTGCTGTAGCTTACATCCATGTCTATGAGGATGAGGAACAGGATGGGAGTGAGTACTGTGCTTTATGGAAGATTCCAAGACTGCAAGAATCCAGGCGGACATCAACCAAATCTATAAATGGGCCGCAGAAAAAATATGAAGATCAATGATGAGAAATTTCAATTATTCTGATATGGAAAACATGAGGAAATTAAAACCATATCAGAGTATAAAACAAATTCGAACCACACAATAGAACGAAAAATTAATGTAAAAAATCTGGGAGTGATAATGTCTGAGGATCTCACCCTCAAAGACCACAACATTGTATCAATCACATCTGCTAGAAAAATGACAGGATGAATAATGAGAACCTTCAAAACTAGGGATGCCAAGTCCATGATGACACTCTTCAGATATCTTGTTCAATCTAGGCTGGAATATTGCTGCGTACTAACAGCACCTTTCAAGGCAGGTAAAACTGCTGACCTAGAAAATGTACAGAAAACCCTTTCCCACGGCACATAAATGTAATAAAACACCTCAATTACTGGGAACGTTTGAAGTTCCTCAACCAGTACTCCCTAGAATGCAGGTGGGTGAAATACATGATTATATACACTTTAGAAAATCCTAGAGGAATTAGTATCAAACTTGCACACGAAAATCACTCTCTATTAAAGCAAAAGACTCGGTAGATGATGCAACATCCCACTCAATGAAAAGCAGGGGTGCCACAAGCACGATATGAGACAACACAATAAGTGTGAGGGGGCCCTAAAAATGTTCAGCTGCCTTCCAGCATACATAAGGGGGATTACCAATAGACCTCTGGCTGTCTTCAAATCTATAAATGGGTGCTGGACAGGCACCTACAGTCAGTACCTGACCAGCCGAGCTGTGGTTCGTACATCGGGTTGTGTGCGGCCAACAGTAACAGCCTGGTTGATCAGGCCCTGATCCACCATGAGGCCTGGTCACAGACTGGCCGTAGGGGCATTGACCCCCGAAAACCCTCTCCAGGTACACTCCAAGTATCACACATCCAACATTCTGAGCCAAAATGAAATACTGACAGATGTTGTTTAGGAGGAGAGTCTCAAGACAGACAGGCAGGCAGGCACAAACTTAACCCTTTCACTGTCTGTTCCATAATATTATGGCTTGCAAGCCAGTGTCGGTCCCGTAATATGCCAAAATTCTGGTGGCTTGCAATCTTATGGGAAATATTGCTTCAATTTTTGTACAATTCGGTTTTTGTCAGACTTTTTCAAATGGATTAATCACGAAAACCAGGCTTTCCATTGTACGAAGATCAACAATAAATGGGGATGGAGAAAAATATGGCCACTGGTTTTTTCACCAGTGGAAAGTCAAGTTCAGGACTGTTAATCTGGCAAGGAGAGTGCCTGATGAGGGGCTTGAAGATATGCAACCAGATGATATCAATGAACTCTTGGTAGATGGTGATGAAGAACCATCATCTCTTATACTAACTCATGCTCTCTCCCATACTCACTCTCTCACCCACCCATAATCACATCTTAGCTCATACCCATCATCTCTCTTAACCCCCTCCCTCACACTTTCCTTTTTTCATTACCATCCCTCTTTCACACCCACCCAGCCTCACAAATACTCACCCTCTGACTCATATTCACTTTCTTTTTTCTCACAGCCTCACTCTACTGGTTTACATTTTATAGTGCTATTTGTGTCCAGTAGTGCCTCCAGAACCAACCTTCACGAAAAGTATATTTCATAATTCGGAAACAATCGAGAAATCAGCAATAATGACCCACCCCCCCTTCCTTGTTCGTCCATTAATTAGAGGATGCTTGTGGGTTGCTTGGCAGCATCCTCAGCTCATGCACCAAAGGCCCAGGATCGATCCCTGGCAGGGTGAAATATTGGACATGTTTCCTTACACCTGTTGCCCCTGTTCACCTAGCAGTGAAACAGGGGTAAGATAAAGATTGTGTTTGGTTTTTTAAAAAACCGTGAAGGTTAGCTACCCAGGAAAACCCAAATAAAGTCAGTATTTTATCAAAGACTGTGTGTTTTCACCTTATTAAAAAATGCAACACATCTAATGGGCCACAAATCGGGAATTCATTTCACAAACCAGCAAAAGGTCTCCTTGTTACCAATCAATTTTCAGCTATAATTAACAATCACCTCATCTCCCTAGCTTAACTACACCACATATGCAACACCAAACCAAAACCAACTCTCAAAACAAAATAATAAATATAAATAAATATCTTTATTTACTAACAAAACAGTACAAGGAATACAGACCATAGCTGACATCAATGACATACTACATATATAGAAAGCCCCTTTTTTTATGCTGAGAAATTCGGGCAAATTAGATCAGTTTTTGTCCCAGGATGCGACCCACACCAGTCCACTAACACCCAGGTACCCATTTTACTGATGGGTGAACATAGAAAACCCGTGTAAGGAAACACACCCAATGTTCTTTCTACCCTCGTTGGGAATCGAACGTGGACCCTCGCTGTGTGAAGCGAGAGCTTCAGCCACCATTTCTCTCCACCATCTTCTAAAAACCGTTCTAAAAGCCTGAATAAGTTTAAAGTATTAACACATACTTAAATTTGTAGTAATTTTTGTTGCCTCTCTTCTTGTAAAAATGCAGACTTTTACCACTCACAACCTCTGTATATTTTGTAAGCATTACAGCCTCTCCTCAGCCCACTTACTTGTTACCCAATGCCTTGGACTTACGACGGGCTCTCTGATCAGTATTTATACCTAAATAATAATATTAGAGCTGATTGCCTCTATTCTGTTTATTTCATTATACAGTACACTACTGTATAAACATTTAAAAACATACCTAAAATTTTATAAATGGTGGAAAGGTAACACTAAAACAATATCAAAGATGGTTTTTTCACCAACCACCATTATAGTTGCTCCTCACTTAGTGACGAATTTGTTTAATGGTGGTCCTTAGGAACGGAACTCTGTCGTTAAGTGAGGAGAGGCTGTACTATCAGTCTGCCAGACGTGCACTTATGTAAGTGGCTTTCCTGCACTTAACAATATTGTAATACAATAAACTACATTTTTATACTGCAAAAATAAATAAAATGTTTGTTTGTTGTGGTTCTATAATCTCAAAGCCCCAGTGTGTGATAAGATAAGATTTATTTCGGATTTTTAACCCCGGAGGGTTAGCCACCCCGGATAAAACCCAAGAAAGTCAGTGCGTCATCGGGATTGTCCAACTTATTTCCTTGGGGTCCTCAATCTTGTCCCCCAGGATGCGACCCACTCCAGTCGACTAACACCCAGGGACCTATTTGCTGCTAGGTGAACAGGACAATAGTGTAAGGAAACGTGTCGAAATGTTTCCACCCGCCGGGAATCAAACCCGGGCCCTCCGTGTGTGAAGCGGGAGTTTTTAGCCACCAGGCCACGGGGTACAGCACAAAGGTACCTCTTACTGCAAAGTGAACAATGACAGCAGGTGTAAGGAAACATGCCCGATGTTTCCACCCATGCTGGGGATTGAACCAGGACACTCATTGTGTCAGCTGAATGTGCTACCACCCAGCCACGGTACAACGTAGTGTGTCCCCATCATCTGGTCTTCAGAACCTATGTCACCTGGTACTGGAAACCCCTCAACTGGGCTTGGACCTGTCACTGGCTCTGGCCGTCACCTGGTCCCTGAACCTTGACACCTGGTTTGGACCTGTGTCAACCTGGTCCTGGACCTGTGTCACCTGGTCCCCGGACCTGTGTCACCTGGGCCTGGACCTGTTTTCATGGTCCTGGACCTGTGTTACTGGTCCTGGGCCTGTGTCACCTGGTCCGATGTGTCATGTGGTCCTGGACCTGTGTTACATGGTCCTGGTCCTGTGGTCCTGGACCTGTGTTACATGGTCCTGGGCCTGTGTTACATGGTCCTGGACCCGTGTTACATGGTCCTGGACCCGTCACCTGGTCCTGTGTCCCTGTGGTTCTGGACCTGTGGGCACCTGGTCCTGATCTGTCACTTGAACCTGTCACCTGGTCCTATGTCACCTGGTCCTGGACCTGTGTCACCTGGCCCTGGGAATTTTCCTTGGAGAGATTTCTGGGGCTCAACGTCCCCTTGGCACCAGCCTCGTGGTGGATCGGGCCTAATCACCAGGCTGTTACTGTTTGGCAGCACACAATCCAACGTAGGGAACCACAGCAGGGGCTGGTCAGGTACTAATTTTAGGTGCCTGTCCAGTGCCTGCTTGAAACAGTCAGGGGTCTATCGTTAATCCCTTTATGTATGCTGGGAGGCAGTTGAACAGTCTGGCCCCTGACACTTATTGTGTTGTCTCTCAGTGTACTAGTGACACCCCTGCTTTTCATTGGGGGGGATGTTGCATCATCTACCGAGTCTTTTGCTTCCATAGGGAGTGATTCTCAGGCAGTCGGTACTATTTCCCCCTGGGATTTTCCAGGTGTATTAATCCCTGTATCTCTCCCGCCCCGCGTTCCAGGGAGTACAAGTTCAGGAACCTCAAGCGCCCCAGTAATTGAGGTGTTTTATCTCCGTTTTGCGCGCCGTGAAGGTTTTCCTTTTTAAAAAACTAGTTATATTACCAACCTTGTTAAGATGTCCAGTGCCAATATTAAGATGTCAGTGCCATGCCAAGATGACAGTGCCCATATTAAGATGTCAGGCCCATATTAAGATCTCTGTGCCCATATTAAGAATTGTCAGTGCCCATATAAGATGTCCTGCCCATATTAAGATGAGAGTGCCCATATTAAGATGTCAGTGCCAATATTAAGATGTCAGTGCCAATATTAAGATGTCAGTGCCAATATCAAGATGTCAGTGCCAATATTAAGATGTCAGTGCCAATATTAAGATGTTAGTGCCAATATTTAAGATGTCAGTGCCAAAATTAAGATGTCAGTGCCAATATTAAGATGTCAGTGCCAAATTAAGATGACAGCGCCAATATTAAGTTGTCAGTGCCAATATTAAGATGTCAGTGCTAATATCAGATGACAGTGCCAATATTAAGATGAGTGCCAATTTTAGAGGGGCAGCGCCAATATTAAGTTGTCAGCGCCAATATTAAGGTGTCCGTCCCAAAATATAAGGTGTCAGCGCCAATATTAAAGTCAGCCCAATATTAAAGTGTCAGCGCTAATTTTAAACGTGTCAGCCCCAATAGGTGCCAGCTCAATATAAAAAGTGCCCAACGTCAATGTTAAAAGTCAGCGCCAATATTATTTGTCAGCGTAAATATTAAGTGTTCCCAATCAACATTACGTCAGCGTCAATATTAGTGTCAGCATAATATTAATGTGTCAGCCCCAAATACAGGTGCCAGCGCCAATATCAAAGTGTCAGTCAATATTAAATGTGTCGAATGTCAAGCGTCAATTTTAAAGGTTGCAAATTGGTTTCATCGCCATTTTTGTGTAGCTCAATATTAAGTGTCAGCCCAATTTAGGTGTCAGCCCCAAATATAAAGTGTCAGCGCCATATTAAGGCGT